TGTGTGGTGTCTTCAGTCATAGAGTCTTACTGCCCAGTTCTGGTAAAAAAAAAAAAAAAAAAAAAAAAACCAGTCCTGAGTAAACCCAGTGGGTGACAAAGCAAAACTAAAACTGAACCAAAAGTGAGAAAGGGTTTTTGTTTGCTTGTTTGTTTGTTTGTTTTGTGGGAGATAGCTGGATTTGGGAGAGAGAAGTAGCAGGAAGATGAAAATGGGCTGAAGGTTTAGCGTGACCAGAATGTTTTGTATGCACACACAAAATCATCACTTCTTCAAAGTCATGATGTCATCCAGAGCTGAGTTCTCATTTTCACTGCCTAGTTGAGAAAAGGAAAAGACGTGTGTTCAGTCTTGTATAATTTATAAGAACTGCTCGTCTCTGCTCTGAAACTCATTTGGAGAAGCTGTATCTTTATTAAGTTGCTATGTGACCTTGAGTAAATCAGCTAACCTCTCTGGGACTCTTGGTGAAGTCCAAATTACACAGAATTTCCTCCACCTTCCTGTTGTGAGGCTTCCCTAAAAAATACTTAGTAGATGAGTGTCAGACTACAGAGGCAAATCCAGAGTTTCTTAGGCACAGAGCTAATACAGCTTTGAAGACTCTTTTCAGAAAACTGTTTTTGTTTTGTGTCTGTGGGTAGGTACATGTGTATGTAGTAGGTGTGGGTATACATGTGTATGTAGTAGGTGTGGGTAGGTACATGTGTATGTAGTAGGTGTGGGTATACATGTGTATGTAGTAGGTGCGGAGATACATGTATGCATGTGCATATGCAGGCCTGAGGAAAAACTCAGGGGATATTCTTTGGGGTTCATACATCTTGTTTTTTTTTAGAAACAGGGTCTCTTTCTGGGACCTAGGGAAGCCCAGTTAGTCTAGGCTGTATCCATCAAATCACAAGGATCATGCCTGTCTTTACTTTGTTTGAATTCAAGCTTATGCCACCATTTCTGGCTTTCAAAACTGTGGGTTCTTGGGATTTTAGTTGGTTCTCATCATGCACAGCAAACATTTAACTGACTGAGCTATCTCCCTGGCCCCGGAGAAAAGCTTTGAATGACTCTGGACAGAATCTAACCAGTTGTATGGGTAAAGTGAGAGTCCATGAATGCTGAACTCCACAGCAATTCTATCCTGGAGAAAAAGGTTGACAGCAAATAATTGTTATAAAAAACTATTGTCAAAGATATATTTAATTTCACTACAAGAGAGAATTTCTAGCCATACAGCAGTTATGCAAAGAAAAATAAAGGCATTTTCTGTGAAAGACTGGGTATTTTGCTGCCCAAACATCTGTTATATTCAAGCTGACATCAACCAGACCACAAGTTCTCTCCTGTACGGACAGGCCTCACACAGAGGCCTCGGGGCATGAGTCTTTTGATTTGATTTGTTTCTGTGCACATCTCTGGCACATACTCTAAGGATACACTCTTCTTCATTGTGAAGCTAATTCAAGGAAGAGATAAGTCTGATAAGGAAGATAGGGCAAGGTGTCCACACCCCAAACTTGCAATCTGACACACTCTCAATAAGGAGAGAGTATAATGAGGTCATGTCATAGAAAACATAGATCTTGCTGATTCTATTCTCATTATTCTTCTGTGATAAGTTTAAATTTCTCTCGGAAAGTGTATCCTGACCACCCAGGCAGAGACTCTCATTGTCCAGCTAGCTCCTATCTCACTGAAGACTGAAGATGCTAATTGGTCTTTTATGGTATCTTTATATCAAAGAATTCTTACATTGTCCATGCTATTAACTTGAGTGTATGCTACTTCTGGTGATGATAATGATGATGACAATGATGATGACTGCTGATGATGGTATTGTGTTCTGGCACATGCAGCTACACAAGCATGTGGAGCTCAGAGGTCAATCTTGAGGAATCTATATTTCCTCAGAAGCTGTCCACCTTTCTTTCGAGACATTTTTTTTTTAACTGTCCTGGAATTCACCAAGAGATTCATCTTTCTTCACCTCCCGTTAGTTGGGTTTAAAGGTTGTGTCATCACACTTGAGGTTTTGGGTTTGGTTTGGTTTTGTTGTTGCTGTTTATTTTATGTGGGCTTTGAACTTGGGCCCTTGTGCTTGCAGGGCAAGTGGTGTATCAGCTGCACCATCATCCAAGTCCTTGTATTTGGGCACAACGCTAAACTGTCAATATTTTGAAGGTTAGCCGCATAGTAGGTGCTAACCAAATCTTCCCTGAATGAATTGAGAATGAGGAATGTCCCCTTTCATGTTTACTGAAAAGTCAGGAAATCTTCCCAGAGATTCAGTCTCCCAGGGTACCAATGATAGCGAAAGGTGATGGGGGTCATCCAACGTACTTCTCTTAAATTCCTCAGCTTTTCCCCATCTGTAAAACCTATAGGTCAGAGGCAAGATGGAAGTGTCCCTGCTGCGGAAAGGATCCAATTTCTCAGTGGTTTGATTTCCCCCTCTGCACGGAAATGTTGCTGCTGAGATAGAGCTGCCTTTCATACTTAGAGAAAAACTGAATTCCACCACCCATCATCCTCCCCCACAAGGACAAGGCTGTGCGTTAAGGAAAGCCCGTTTGGCCCTAGGTAGCCCTCACCATTCCCTCTGCAGTACCTCCCTCTTCTGATTGTCTCTTCCAAGTGAACCACTGGGGACTGCTCGAGACCACTGCCGACAACCGATAAATGCAGTCTTCAAAGCCACTCATCCATTCTTAATGGACAGCCCGTTAATTTGAGGTCTGGGTCATGAATTTGAATGCTGTGCACTGAACACCTCTTCAACAAGACACCCTGGCTTTGCCTCAGGGTAAATGGTGATTCATTAATTGTAATTAAATTAAGCTGGTGGCTTAAACTAGATGTGACAAAATGAAAATCCCCATATAAAACCTGAGGTGCATATCACAGGTCTTCTGTCAATAACATCTCGTTTTTGTCTAAGTGGATTTAAAGGGAGCAAGATGCCTCTTCTTTAAAGGGAAAAAAAAAGCTGCCTTAGCTAAATAGGGAAATAAACAACTTGGGTATGTTTCTCTCTTTCTCATGTAGTGTGGAAACTAAGGAGGACTAATGATAAAGACTTGAAGCACGCCTAAGAATCTAGGTGGAGACACAGCAGTATTCTAGGGTTAGGCCATGTGACACTGGCTATTACAGCACATCCATCCTGCTGCTATAAGGGCATGAGTTGCGTCAGTATAAGTATCAGTTACTGCTTAGCATGGTGAACATGGGGACAAAATCCTTGGATGGAAGTCAGGAGTTCTGAGATCTCAATAAACTTTACTGGGAAACTAGTGGTTAATCTAGGGACCCTTGTTTTATGGAATTTCTATCTGTGAAATAAGAGTCCTGTGTGGTGATATTTTGTTTGTGATCTAATAAATCTTGCCTGAAGATCAGAGTGTAAAGCTAGCCACTAGTTACCCATAGAGGCCAAGCAGTGGTAGCATACCTCTTTAAACCCTTGTGAGGCAGAGGCAGACAGATTTCTGTGAGTTCAAGGCCACCCTGGACTACACGAAATTGATCCAGTCTAAAAGAGAAACAGAACCAGATGATGATGGCTCACACCATCCCAGCACTAGGGAGGTAGAGACAGGGAGGGATAGAGGAGGACAGAGAGAGGAATATAAAGTGGGAAGATACAGGAGCTCAGGGAATTCAGTCTGGCCATTCAGTCTGAGGACCTGTAGAGACAGGACACCCATTTGGTCTCAGGATTTCATAGAGGTGAGAACTAGTGACTGGCTGCTCTGCTTCTCTGATCTTTCATCTTTCACCCCCAAATCTGACTCCAGGTTTTAATTATTAAAACCAATTAGAATTTACACTACAGTCCCATTTTTATAGAACAGGAAATTAAACAGGACCCCAGCAAGCCACAGGAAAGCATGAAGCTCTACATGTATGGAACGGAGAAGGTTCCCTCACTAAACAGAACAGAGGAGCCCTACCTGTGAGGTCACATTCTCATCCCCAAGCCTACATGAATCAAAGGTGACAGAGGGACAAAGTGCAAATAGATTTGTTCCACTGGGTCTTGTCTAAATTTTCTTCTAGCAACAAGGCTTGGAGAAAGCATGGATTCTACCACGGCATTACCTAGGGCATGATTACGGTCAATAAAAATGAAAATAAACATGGAGAGGTTGATCTAAAAGCAGAATCAATCTGCCCTTAATCTTTTCTACTTTGGGCTCAATTTTGTTTCCAAATGACACTAGAATAAGAGAGATCAGGTTGAGTGGTCTTTGTCTGTTGTTCTTGCCTCAAGGACATGAGCAAACTGCATATAGGTGAAGGGAATGCCATTCTGAATCGAGCAGCAAGAGATCAGCAGCAACAACCCATATGAGGTGTTACAACTACCATCAGAGCACAAAATGGCAGCTACTTAATTCCCACTTCCCAAACTTAAAAAAAAATATTGATGCCTAGATAAATTCATACAATGTATTTTGTTCATATTTATTTTTATTTCCACAACTCCTCATATATCCACCCCCACTTCCCTCCAATATCATGTCTTCTTCCTTTTTTTTAATAGCCTACTAAGTCCAATTTGTGCTGCTGTGCATGCTTCTGGGTGTAGTACTCTCCACTGGAGAGTAGTTCATCTATCAGGGGGACACATTCTTAAAACTTATTCTTCCTCCCCTAGAAGCCATCAGTTGTCCACAGCTCCTCAGTTAGAATCCCTGCACCTTATGTGCTAGACTGCTGATAGGCTTGATCTGATGTAGGTCTTGTGCAGGCAACCTAACCTTTGGGAGTTACTAATTACAATGGTCCTGCCATATCAACATTGCATCATTTTTCTTTGGCCCTCCTTTGCCTCTGTCTCTGTTGCTGAAGGATCACACACATGGGTCACAAGACAGAGAGAAACCAAAGTGCTCCACCCAACAGCCCCATCCCTGCTGGCTAGCTTTCACAATACGGAAAGGGGCTGTCTACACAGTCTGGGGGGAAAGGTCAAAGATCAACAATCCCACTCAGCTGTGTGAGGCTAAGTACAGCTTCCACATGCAGGTTAATGACTTCAAAGTCTATGTTCTACACAGCCAGTTTCAAGCTCCTCATCCTTTTGTGTCTCAAACTATCATGACAGAGCTTCATGAGAGCCACACAGCAGGAGTGGAAACGTTCCTTCTCCTACTGAGGAGATCAGGAAGTGAACTTCCACCTTTGGATGATTGTGATCATGAGCCCGCCCACTCATGGACTTGGTCCTCTGCAGCACCTGCTCCTCATCCCATCCACCATGCACAATGAGGTGGTGAGTAGTCTTGACTGGTAAAGATCTGGAGAGGAGATCGTGAGTGTGGTTTATAAGAGTTCTTGTCATTCTTCACCGGAGGTCTGTCCAGGTAAGCTGTCTGAGATGTGGGTGACACTTGTTTTCTGACCCACTGCTGGTGGAGAGTTGGGGAAACGGGTAGGATAGGGCACTAGTGGATGGTCCTTCTTTTGTGGGGTTCTCCTCCACACACAGTCATTCTCTAACTCGATGGACACCAACTCGTGTTTACCATTTTCTTCAGCTATGACACTACTTGGAGCTAGTGCTGACCCCTGTAGGCAAACAGACTAATACTATCCCATCTCAAATGCCAGTCACTGTCTGAGTTACTGAAATTTCTGATTGACTATCTCAAAATTTTGGAGTTCCCACAGCTCCCTTCTTGGTGACAATCACTTAACAAAATTGGTTCACAGGGCTCCGTAAAGTGTTCTATCAGATAATTGTCAAAATTCAACTCCAGGTAGTCAACTGTAAGAGACACACAGAACGGAATATGAGAATGGGGTATTAGGCTGACATGGTTCTTTGATCCACATCTTGGTATCTCAGTGTGTTCACCAACCTGGAAACTCTCTGGACTCCATCATTTAGGTATTTTTTTAAAACGAGGTTTACTTAACTCATTTAATCATTGTACAGTGTTGGTTACACTCAAAATTTAGCTCCACCCCCATGCCCAAAGGAGTAGACAGGAGTTTGGAACAGAATACAGTAACTCTAGAATCATGTGATTGCTTCTTCTGGCAACCCTTGTTCTTAAGTTCCTTAGGGTCCACTAAGGCTCACCTCATTAGCATAAGCTGAGGCATCGATGGAAGGGGCTTGTAACAAATCCCCAAGAACATGCTAAAAGAAATACCAGAGGATTTAAAACCCATGTCAGGAATCAGAGACCAAGATATAAATCACTTATCAAAATAGTACATTTCAGGACTGGATAGATGGCTCAATGGTTACGAGCATAGGCTGTTCTGACAGAAAACCTGAGTCTGACTCCCAGCACCCATATCAAGAGGCTCACAACTGCCTCTCTGATGTGGGAGAATTGTCTGTATTCTGTCAATCATATTTTAATAAAACACTGACTGGTCAGGCAGGCAGTATAGGCAAGAAAGCCAGACAGGAAGAGGGGTGGAGCAAAGAGACTGGGAGTATTCTGAGAAGCAGGAAGCTCCCTCCTCCATTCCTGCCTAGATCACCGAAGAAGCAACATGTGAGCTGACAGCTGAAAAAGGTACCAAGCCATGTGGCTAATGTAGTTAAGGATAATGGGGTAATATATGTTATAAGAGCTAATAAGTAGCCAGAGCTAAGGGCCAATCAGTTTATAATCTTATGGAGTCCCGTGTGTGATTTTCTTTGGGATTTGCTGGTTGTGGGATAACTGGATCCACAGAAAGCTTGAGAAAGCTTGGAAAAGAATAGAGTACAGCATGTTTTCTTGGTAGCAGCAATTTCTTGGGTCTGCTCTGTTTGTTAGAGGCAAGCAAGCACTCTCATCTAAGAGGCTTCCTGACTCAGCTTTAGCTGCAAAACCCTGCAGCTCATTAAGAGGTCCTGCCACGAAACACTTAAACAGTGTTGGTGAAAAGCTGAATGCATGCTTTTCGGTTTTCAGCCATAGCAGGAAAAAAGCTATGCCATTTTAAAATGCTGACTTTCTGGGCTGTCCTGCCAGGGCAATCTCTGATTCTTTCAGGCAGGCAGTCCGATTGAGTGTGGTCTGTGAGCAGAATGCTGCAGCTTGCTTGCTGGCAGGGACCTTGAAACGCCACAGAGTTGTGGCAATAAAAATGGCTCCAGCAGTACCTCTGCCATGAGGTTGGAAAGCTAAGGAATGGGCTGGATCCAGCCGTCAAAGCCACGGCTTTAACCCTCTCCTTAAAGACTCATGTAGTCAGAAAAAGAGACATATACAGTAAAGAGAAATTCAAAGAAAAAAAACCTCTAAATGGTTACTAGTGTGTTTAAAATATATGCAGACTTGAAAAAAAAGTTAAAGTTCTTAAAGTAAAGAAAGAAAGAGAGTAGTTGGGTATGGTGGTACACACCTTTAATCCCAACACTTGGGAGGCAGAGGTAAATTGACCTCTGAGACTTCAAGGGGCAGAGGTAGATTGACCTCTGTGACTTCAAGGTGTGGTAGCACACACCTTCAATCCCAATGCCTTGGGGGCAGAGACAGACAGATTTCTGTGAGTTCAAGATGTTGTAGCACACACCTTTAATCTCAGCACTGGGGAGGCAGAGACAAGTGGATCTCTGTGAGTTCAAGGACAGCCTGGTCTACAGAGTGAGTTCCAGGACAAAGGTATGCAGAGAAACTGTCTCAAAAAGTAAAAGTAAAAATAAGAGAAATAGAGGTTAAAATAAAGCCACATAAAGATGAAAAATACGTGGAGAATCTTGATACTGTATGTTATTGTGCTCTCTTTGAATTGTTTGAGTGCTGAAGAAGGAGCAACAGCTGCTAAAAGACTTTTGTTTATAAATGCTGCTGAACTAATCCAAGATAGGTATTTTGAAAATACCTTGGCTTTAAAACTGAAGTCAAAAGGTATGATACTTTGGAGAAGAGATTTTGCTTTTGTTTCCACAGAAAATGAGAGGCTGTGAATTCATTCTTAGTTAAGAAAAATCAGGTTCGATAAAGGAAGACCACCTGAGAAATCTCCGATAGGAACAGATGGCCCAGATGACAGAGTTCTTCATCCAGAACAGGTTCAAGACTGCTGCCTGAGATGATCAAGACTCACAGGATACTCCAGTCAGGACTTGATGATAATTCTAAATTTTCTTTAGGTCCCCATAAGATTATCAGCGCCCCCAACCAGCAGGAAGTAGCCTGAAATACTACGCCCACACTCCCAACAAATGGACTATGGGTATTTTCCTTTGTTTAAAAAAAAAGAGGGAAATGATGTGGGAGAATTGTCTGTATTCTGTCAATCATATTTTAATAAAACACTGATTGGCCAGGCAGGCAGTATAGGCAAGAAAGCCAGACAGGAAGAGGGGTGGAGCAAAGAGACTGGGAGTATTCTGGGAAGCAGGAAGCTCCCTCTGCCATTCCTGCCCAGACCACTGAAGAAGCAACATGTGAGCTGACAGCTGAAAAAGGTACCAAGCCATGTGGCTAATGTAGTTAAGGATAATGGGGTAATATGTATTATAAGAGCTAATAAGTAGCCAGAGCTAAGGGCCAATCAGTTTATAATCTTATGGAGGCCCATGTGTGATTTTCTTTGGGATTTGCTGGCTGTGGGGTACTGGGCGGGACAGATACCCCAACAAGCCAGCCCATTATGGTACACCTCTCAATTCAGTTCCAAAGGATTTGACATCCTTGCCTGGGCTTTGTGGACTCCTGGACTCACATCAAACTCCCATACACAAGCAAATAAAAATAAAATCTTTTAAAAATGCTATATTACCTAATGTCCAAAAAGCCCTTTGGACAAAGCAAAGACATCCTGAGTTTGTGCGAGAGATCAGAAAGATAGCTCAGTTCTAGTAAATAATCGAGAACCTGAGAGTCAGGACATTTGGCATCAGGTGGGCATTGGGACATGAGGATATCTGGTACCTTCTGTTGATGAGTCAGCCATGTCAAATATGTTGTGTAATTGAAAGCTTTGTATACTTTTTATTGTGCATAAATTTTCTGAATAGTGAGGAGAGAAATGATCTGCAGAGACTTTGAAACAGTTTTGTTGCTGTTGTTGTTGTTTTACTGCCCTGGAAATGTGAAGTTCCTGGGTAAGAACTTGTAAAGCAAAATCATAAAAGATAAGCTTCTTAGGACTGGGATTAAATAGGCTGGACAGAGCTGGGAACTCAGGGCTGCCCCTAGACTTTAGACTCTGTGTGGTCACATTCAAATTCAGAATTAGATTGGTACAGTAATAGATGGAAACTTGCGTGTCCACTTGCTTGCTTTACTTTTGCTCTGCTCAATATCTCCACTCATACAGTACAGGACCACCTACCTAGGGAATGGTGCAGCCCACAGTGAACTGGCTGAGTCTTCACATTTCAGTCAACTTAATTCCGACTCCTCTACAGACATGACCACAGGTTGACCCAACGTAGACAATTCCTCATTGAGACACTCTCAACAGGTGGTTCTAGGTCATGTCAAGTTGGCAATTAAAACTAGCTATCACAGGGGCTAGAGAGATGGATGGTTCAGGGTTAAGAGTACCTGATGCTCTTCCAGAGGAGCCGAGTTTGGTTCCCAACACCCACATCAGGCAGTTCACAACCATGGGGACTCCAGGGGATTCAAAGCCCTCTTCAGGCCTCCACAGCACTGCTTGCAAATGGGGCATATAAATGAACTCAAGCACATTCACATAAGATAGATAAGTAATTTTTTAAAGCTAGCCATCATAACCTCTAAGGAAAGAAGAGGAGAAGCTACAATGGAGCAGGATAAAGTGGCCATCACAAATGGGAGTATTAGCTCCAAACATTGACTTTGGGGGAGGGGCTTGTAGAAGGCTCTGGATCATCTCCTCCCTTGGTGTCATATTCAACAGACTTTTCTTACAGAATCCAGCTGAATTCCCTGTATAAGAAAGGATATTTATTATTATGTTAAATTACATGATGGGGCTGAGGAGTCCAGCAATAGCTGACTGGGCTCTGGAGAGCCAGAGAACCTGGTAGCTACTAAATCGATGCCTCAGCAGCCTCAAAGCCTTGTTGGAAGTCTGGGAAAGACCAAGGTATTCAGTTCCTGTTGGAAGGCTGAAGAAGAAGCTGCTGGCAGCAGAGGATGGCACCAGCTGCAGATGCCCTCTCTCAGAGACAAGCAAGGGATGGTGAGCAACAATCTTTACACCATGCTGATCACTTAGAAGGTACTATGTGCTTTGGGAGTAAGTCCTCACCGCTCAATTAATCCTCTCTGAAAATGCCTTCTTAATTCTGTTAAGTTAACAACACCAAACCATCACACTGACCTAGCCAGGGGCTGTGCGCCATAGTTGCCTGACATCTTTATATGACTGGGAAACTAATTTTCATATTAATGTAACATAACCAAAAGAGGTCTGTGTCCCCTCTTGATCCAATTGGATAATAAGATATGCATATTCCTTGTTCTGTTTACCTTCTGCCCCTGAAGATGCTGTGGCCCTCTAGGAGGAAGAAGCCACAGGTAGCGGGAATCAGATGCCATGAATGACTGTGTGGCGGGAAGTCACCTTCCAGCTCTGAACATCTGCACCAGACTCTTTTGGATGTATGTTAAGATGTGGGGCTGAGAAGCCTTTGGAGCCACTAATGCAGGGAGGAAGCAGACCGTGAAGGACTTCCTTCATTCTCACTTTTAACTTTGGAGGAAAAGAGCCCTGGAAACTGAACATCCCACATACATAAAGATACAGGCGCATCCATTAGCCATTCATTCCCTGGTCCTCTGGGTCAGGAAAACGTCCACATCTTCACCCTCGCCACATTGGCTGATGCAAAGACAAGAGGACAGACGACTTCACACAGGAAAAGTCCAGAAACATCTTGAACCTTCTTAATGAGCAGCTCTCAGTTGGGCTGGGGAGGATGTACTCCTGGGAAGCCAGGATTGCCTGCCCCTTGTAGAAAAAAGCCTGGGTAGAAGGCATCCTACTGAGCAATGTCCAGTTTTCCACTACACGAGTGTTTTAAGGCTTCATGTTTTGACTTATCTAATCTAAAGTGCAATACGTTTAATTTGTCTTTATTGACTTGAATAAAAATGAACTTTAGATAGACGAGTGTCTAGCAGAGCGAATAGGGTGGCATTCTTTGTAGTCACGTTGGTTTTGCAAAAGTGTACTGGAGGCAAACTGCCTAAGCATTTACTTGTTTAACCTCCATACTCTGTAGAGTCCAAAAGTGACTGCTCTCGTACCGTACCACCTCCTTTTGGCACAGCCTCTACAGAGCACTCCAGGTCAGGGGCACCTGCCAAGGCCAGCACCAGCTATGTGTGTTCAGGTGTGTGCTGTGGCCTCTCATCACAGCTGCTTGCAAGGCCCAGGGAAGAGCAGCTGCCTGCCTTTTTCTTGCTAATTTCTCTTCCCCACTGAGCTACACAGGGGAGAATAATTGCCTTTACTCTAAGCTCTGACATTCCCACATCCCAGCACCTGCTCTACCACTGTCCTCCCAACAGGAAGACAATTTCTGCCACCCTCGGTGACTTCTTCATAGCCAACCTGCTGGTTAGAGAAACACTTTTCAAAGAGGCAGTTGGAATACGAATGTGGACAGAGCGTTTTGGAAGGCTGATCATCATTTTTCCCTTGTGAGACAGAAACTACGGGTGGGAACTTGGTAGGATGGCTGGGCAAAGAGCCTCAGCCTCAACAATGCCCCCAGCCCTATCAGCAGAAACAAATAGAAAAAGCCCAAACACCACAGGGAAAAGAGGAAGCTGGGCATGACCATCTAATGAAACCGTGTTATTTAGGAGACACTCTGAAGAAACCCAGAGTTAGCCTGTGCCTGATAGAAAGCGAGAATCAATTGACTCGGGATGTGCATTCATATTCCAAATTTTAAATTTGATTCTATAACAGTTATTCATATGGCAAGGTCGAAGGACCAGTGATGGAAAGACAGGATAACCTGAGACTGTAAGCACCTCCCTGCCAGGAACCCGCCAGGAACAAGGACAGGAACATCTCTCACAACCCCTGTTTATCAACCCTCAAAGGGCCAACTCTTAACACTTCATTAAGATTGTAACACTTCCTAAATTTTAAAAAATTTTCTGTACTGTGAAAGCAACCTTAGATTTATTTATATTTGCAAAAAAAGAATAATATATAGATGAATGCGTGTTAATAAACTCAAATCTGAATGATGGTATTTTATGTTTTTAGATACTTTATTATTACAAAGTCTTTTAATACATATTTTTATTTCTTAGTCATTAAAGAAATAAATGTGGAACATATTAGATACACAGAGGTGTGTTCTCTTCAGTGACTCCAAATCAAGCTGGCAATGGAGATCAACTATCGCAGGAGGAACTAGACTTTAGATGTCCTTAGATGTTGTCCGACTTTTCTGTCCTGCCAGCCAGCTCCCAAATAACTACATAGAGACTCATTATTAAATATACATGCTCAGTAGACAGCTTGGGCTTCTTACTAGCTAGCTCTTACATCTTAAACAAACCCATATTTCTTATCTATATTCTACCCCGTGGCAGTACCTTTCTTCAGCCCAGCATGTTTATCCACATTCGTCTTGCTTCCTCCTGAGTCTCCTGGCAACTCCACCCTCCTTTCCAGTGTGCTCTCAGTCTGACTTTCCCAGCTAACTTCTTCCTGCCTAGCTATTGGCAGGTTAGTTTTTCATTAAACCAATGAGAGTAACACATTTTCGCAGTATACTAAAAGATTGTTTCACAACACTTTGACCGTCTCGTAGAGTTCTCTTTTGCTTCCTGGGAGTCCTGGTTCCTACAGGCAAGAGCTAGGAGTCTTGCCTGTTGGGATGAGGCACTCTCTGTGGAGCAGCCTGAAGAACTGCTGGGCTTCACTCTGTTGTGGGTCCGCAAGTTCCCTGCTGTCTTCACCTATTTCACAGGTGTTCTGCTCTGTCTGAGACAGAGTCTGCTGAAGAAAGAGCTGAGGAGAAGGTTGAAGTCGGAAGGGAAGAAACAGGGCTCTGCACTATGTGACAGGGTCTTTGCTTATATTTAAGATTCATTTTATTTTCAATTATGTGTTTGTGTTTGGGTGGCACATGTGTGCACAGTTACCTGCAGAGGCCAGAAGATGGCAACAGATAGCTCAGGATTGGATTTACAGGTCGATGTGGACTTTCCAAAGTGAATGCTAAGAACTAAACGTGGGTCTTCTGCAAGAGCAGCAAGTTCTCTCAACTTCTTATCTAGTGAGCTATTGCTACAGCCCCTATATACTTTAAATATTATGCTTCATACCATGGAAAATCTCAGACAGACACAAAATGAGAGACTTTAGGATGAGAAATCCCATGTAGTCATTTAGCACACGAGACACATGGCTGCTGTTCAATATGGTGTCATGACCTCTGCTGCTCTGTGAAGATGTGTATTCTCCTCCCTGTTGAGCAGGGTTGAAGTCCTTGATCACTGCCTAAAGGCACCATGCTAGTGGTTCATGGCAGACAAAATGGTAGTTCTGACTTTAAGCTTTATGCTGCTTCTAAGAAAGCTTTACAATATTTTAAGTAAATCTGTGGTCATTTTTTTAAAAAATTGGTTATATGCTTATTTGCCCTAAATATGTCTGAACTTTTATTACATAGGAGAGAAAACATTCAACAACCCTTTTTTTGTCTTCTGGACTCTATGATGCACTACATGGAACATGATTCCTTGGTCTGTATTTTTTTAAAAAAAAAAAGAAACAGCTCTCAGATTTAGTTGTGGAATGCTGACTTCCGGTGATGACATGACTGTTGCACACGTTGAGTCACTGCAGCTGTAGCTGTCTACACAAGACCTTCACACAATCCAGAATCAAGGCAGTCAAAATTCCAGCATGGATGGGGTGGGGATAGGGTTGAGGCCCCACCCTAGAGAAGTTGGTATTGGCTGTAGATGACTGGTGATCCAGGAAAGTCACTCTCCGTTAGGGATGTGGTCACTGGTAAGTGCTCATGTCCCAGTGCATGGCCTCACATATGAGCAGCACTGTGTGGACTCAGGGGATTACTAATAACAATTTGAAAGATTGGTCTGAGGAGCTGATTCAAGGGTTAGGGCTCTTTTGGAGGACCTGGGTTCAATTCCCATCTCTCACATGGCAGTCAATCCTACTTTGAGGGCATTGACACCCTCTTCTAAACCCCATGGGCACTGCACACATGTGATATATATGCAAACATACAGCAGGTAAAACACTCATACACATGAAATAAATATAAATATCTTATATATAAGATATATATTTATAAAATAAAATATGCACCAATATATTGGTATATATCAATAATATATTCAAACAAAGCTCTCTTTTTAATTTATTTATTTTTATTATTTTATGTTCATTGGTGTTTTGCCTACATGTGTATGCCTGCATGAGGATGTCAGATCTTGGAGTTACAGACAGTTGTGAGCTGCTATGTGGGTTCTGAGATTTGAACCAAGGTCCTCTGGAAGAGCAGTCAGTGCTTTTTAACCACTGAGCCATTTCTCCAGCCCCCAGAGCACATACTCCTTAATGCAGTTGTGTTTAGGAATTAATGCTAAGGATAAAATCAGACATGCATGTTAAGATGCTTATAAATGGGCTGGAGAGATGGCTCTGTGGGTAAAGTGCCTGGTGTACAAGTGTAAGGATTTGAGTTCAAATAGCCAGAACCACAAAGCCTGATGCTGCAGAACATTCTTGTAACGCCAGTGTTCATACAATGAGATAGAAGCTATCTTAGAAAGTTTTGCTTTCTATTGCTGTGATGAACACTGTTACTAAAAGCCACTTGGAAAGGAAAGAGTTTATTTGACTTACATATCCCAATCATAGTCCATCCCTGAGGGAAGTCAGTGCAGGAACTCAAGCAGGGCAGCAACTTGGAGGCAGAAACTAAAGCTGGAGCCACGGGGGAATTCTGCTTACTGGCTTAATTGGCCTACTTTCTTATACAGCCCAATACCATCTGACCAAGGGTGGCACTACCCGTAGTGAACTGCCCTCCCCCGTCAATCACTAATTAGGAAAATGTCCCATAGAGTTGCCCATAAGCCAACCTGATGGAGGCAGTTCCTCAGCTGAGATTCCCTCTTACCAGATAAGTCAAATTTGTGTCAAGCTGGCAAATCCAACCAGCATAGAAGCAGAGACAGGTGACTCACCCTAAAGTTTGCAGTACAGCTTTCCTGGAATAAACCCCAGTAAACAACAAAAGGTTGTGCCTCAAACAAGGTCGAAGGTCAGGACCGCCATCTGAGGTTGCCCTCTGACTTCCACATGTGCGCCATGGCACTATCATGCCCCACACACATATGCACATTGTTCACACATATGCATACATATACACACCTACACAAACACACACACACATATACACACATACACATATCTACATATGCAGACACACATACACACACATACACCCCATACACACATATACACACAAGCACACATACACATACATACATACACACACATACACAGATACACACATACACACACATACAAACATATACATATATACACAAACACACACATACACACACAGACACACACACATAAAGGCTTTAAAAATTTATATAGAGAGGCTCAGCAGCACTAATGGGGCAAAATAATAATGTATAATAACAGAAACAATATAATAGTACAAGAAAGTGTACATTATAATTATTTTATATTTTATCAACTATTACAAAAATATTATTCTATATTAATAGAAACAAATGTTTATCAGTAGGGGATTATTTAAACAATGTGTGATTTAAGCCAGTCTTGTGGGACAAGATCATAAAGCTACACTATGGAACCCCATAATAAAAGTACATTATAGAGTAGATATGTGATGTGTGTTTAAGTGAAGAATAAAAAGCTCTTTCTGAAACACGAAGCACAGAATAGCACACTTCACATTTTCTGTAGGTGGCAGAACATGACTCCCAGTGAGCACAGTACTGTGCATCCTTGGTGGGGGAGGCTGGAGGTGTCATCTTTCTCTTCTTTATAATGATAGCAATCGCACGGGTTTGTTTCCTTATGATTCATTATTCAGTGCATTTACTGAGAAGCCAGCACATAGTAAACACTGTTCTAGACCCTTGGGACATAGCACTGGGAAAGCCCACTGTCTTCAAAGCATTTCTTCTCATTGCAGGGAAGAGAGAGAAGAAAGAACATCAATGCAAACCAAATATGGTTCAGGATAGTATGCACCTATCATAGAAGTATCATAGTATTCGTAGAAGAAATGATTGTTGTCTATACAGTGTGATGAATGGGATATGGGGGGCATCACTGCTGCCTCCTTCCCTTCTTGCTCCAGATTCATCATGTTGTATGGCAGAGTAGGGCTTGATAAATTTTACTAAATGGTTTTAAGAAATGTACTCTACCCAGTGAACTTCTTGTCCAGCCTGGCATGCGGGGAGCAGGCTGCAAGACTTCCCCACCTGGGTTCTCATCTCTTGGATCCAGAGAAGGATTATCTATCTACCTTCTTTTACCACACATGTGCTTCTGCCCAGTTCCAAGGCTGTGCACTGGATACTCTCTCATCTGCTTCAATCACATTCTAGTCTTGCTTTGGGGAGTACTTTCAAGTTTCTCCTTGTAACAGCTGCAAATCAAAACATGCCTATCACTGACAAGCGTGTTCTCACTGGGTGACCTTCTTTGTTTCCTCCTTTTAGTATGTACTTCTTAGGATTCTGTTCTTGTTAGTGCTTCATGACTCTTTGTCCCAGGGAAAGAAAGAGATTACAGAGAGAGGATGTGGTAAGTTACACAGGAGAAGGAAGATAACTGAGTGTCCTCCCATACATCATGTCAGCTGTTGACTAAAATGCTCTCCTCTGCCCTGTGCCCAGCGTTAAGGGCAAATGAGATCTTTAAGAATGACAATGACGTTTATCATGTAAAGGACAAATGAATGTATGTGCAGTAATTGCTGCCCATCTTCACAGATGAAGGACATAACAGGAGATTCGACTGCTTCAAACAGCAGTGAAGGATTAGCACATACATAGACCAGTATAAAAAATGATCATGATAAACTTAAAATATGATTAATGAACGTAGAGTAATGGATATTGCTATGTACAGGATCTCACTATATAGCCCCAACTTGAGCTCACATTGTTCAGTCAAGTGCTGAACGAAGCTGGATAGCTCTGCTCCCAGGATGGCTAGAGTTGAGATCTTCTCAGAATACCCCACTGTGTGAGTGTGCGTGTGTGTATATGTATATGCATGCCTGCATGCGTGCGTGCGTGCGTGCGTGTGTGTGTGTGTGTGTGTGTGTGTGTGTGTCCTGGAAACTTAACCGAGGATGGAAGATTCACCATTGATGTGTACAGAGATGTCCTATTGCTGGACTGGGTCCTGGACTTAGTGAGAAGAAGGCAGCGTGCTGAGCACCAGAGTTCACCACTCTTGGCTTCCTGACTGTGGACAGGATGTGATCAGCTGCCTCAACTTCCTGCTGTCATCCTTGCCCTGCCTGAATGGACTGTGTCCTCTTCAACCCTTCTCTCTTAAGTTGCTTCTCTTCAGGTGTTTGGTAACTAAGATAGCTACCCAATTCAGAGTCTCCTTTGATCTTTTACTTCAAATTTCTGAGAGCCTGGTTTACTTGCTTCATCTTTGCAAGACAGGGTCCTTGCTCCCCAGTAGCTTACCGGATTTATGGAGGGTTGCTTTGGGAGGTTTGCATTCCCCTGAGTGTCTTCTGTAAGGTGGTTACCAGCTTCCTTGCTTTCCACTCACTCTTCATGGTGGGACAGACACCGAGAGCTCTGTTTAATGCCCACACTTTCAAGTTCAAGCTTCCTTCTTCATGAGGCATTTTGCCTTCTCCTCTTTCATTTCAGAGAACTAAGTCAGATCAGCGCCTCAACCTCAGCATGCTATCTAACTGGATCCTGTGAGGATGGAAAATGAGGAAATGGACACTCAGGGCTAAAGTCACAAATTAAACAGATTGTAAAGCCTGGCCCGTGATCTCAGCTTCAGTCGTGCTCCAGCCAAGAAAGTTCCAGCTGCATCATCACAGAACAGCTCTTCTGAGCGTGCGGAGGCAATTTGGAGCCTCCAGATGTCTCCGGCTGAGCTCAAGAAGTGGATTCATCTTCTGTAGATTGGATTCGGTAAAGAAAATGCCAGAAAAATGCTAGTGCCATCCTAAGATTTGGGGTGATTTTAGCAGCTGAGCTTGATGACCTAAGTGCTTATCTGTTACTGTTCTAGGGCCTCTTTAAAGACACTGAATTGGCCACTACCACTTTAAGCACTAAATACTTTTTCAATACAACAGCAGAGCAGACTGGACTAACCATGTTACTCTAGCCTGAAGCACATGTTCCCGATTCTTTTCAATATTCACTTTGCAACCCTGTTTTTAACAGTCTGGCAGCAGGTAGGATACAGCTTTATAGGCAGTCCTTTCATTTTATGGAGCCTTCCATCTGAAATATTAGAGAGCTGGGATTAGCGATTTCACAGACACGATTTCCATCATTCATAAATCTTTTATCTTAAAATTGAAGGCATTATCTTTAAATGTGTTCCACAAATCTTCCGTGGGAATAGAAGGTCCTTTATGCACTCTATTTGAGGTGACTGGATGTAGGAGACTTTATGAAGTTGTTGGACCATTAACTCTAGATTTTGATTTTTTTCTTCATTAAAGTAAAAATGATGCAATGAATGTTTCGAAAGTGTGATAGGGAAACTGGTGTCACCAAGGTAGTCCAGGTCTCCCGGCAGACTCCTAACTATTTAAAAGCCAAAAATATGAAGGGTGTGCCAAATGAGGAGTGCTTTAATTTTTATTTACATTCTGCTTTCGGGGTGGCTGTGATGACAGCCTCACCAAGACGGGTGATCGGTAAAGAAGGTGTCCCGTCAGCAGATCCCTCCAGGGCTCTGATTCAATCTTTGAGTTATGAGATGAGGACAAAATGAACTATTTTTCAAGCTTGTAAATACGTGACAAATGGCAGTGCAGGAACTATTGATTCCAATCATGATGACACAATGCTTCATAGTCAAGCCCGACTCTGCCGTTACAGATGGCATGCAAGCTGAGCAGCGAACCCCTGCCTGACAGGTTTCCAACTGCATCCGCCTCTGCGAAGATTCCTGGCCACGTTTACCTCCAACCCAAGTAAATTCTAAAAGAGAAATGGACTTCATTTTATTTTTACAGTAAAAGAATGTTGTTGAGTGACTGTCAATACAGAACAAAACAGAGAAGCAGAAGCCTTCCAAGATCCCAATGCTTGTGTGCTCATTCATCTACTTTTTAGTTTCCTCATCATGTAACAGATATCATTGCAAAATACCTTTCAGGCATATGAAGCTTGAAAGAGTGAATGATCTGTAGGTACTGTCTAGTTCACGGACAGATCCTATTGAAACGTATCTGAAGACAAAAAGCTCAGGAGGGTAGAATTTGAGACAGGTCAGTGTTGATGCACTCCTGTTTTGAGCAAGTAGATGCTGTTAATTGGGGGAGAACCAATTAATAATGACAGGTGTTCACATGGAAAGATATATTCTCTTCTTTTCCTTAAAGAATTTTAAAACTATTTATGTTTTTATTTTTATTGTGTGTATGAGTGGTTTGTCCACATGAATGCACCTGTACCATGTGAGTGTGAATGCCTGGTGCCCGTGGAGGTCAGAAAAAGACATTGGATCTCCCTGGAGTTGGTGGGAAAGGTTGCTGTGAGCCACCCTGTGGGTTTTGGGAATTAAAGCAGGGTCCTCTGCAAGATCAGCAAGTGTTCTTAACTGTTGAATCATTGCTCCAGCCCCAAGACACTCTCTCTTAACCTGCTCACGGATGTCCTATGCCTTCCCTGTGGATAGAAAACATCACCAAATCCTAACTACAAACCTGGTGAGATACGCCTTGGGAGAACACAAGTTGGTTTGAGCTTGCAGAAGCTGTGAGAAGGCTGCATCACACGACAGCGTCCTGGCCATGGAGAGTCCTCTATCCAGCTTATCCTTGGGTTACCAAGGAATAGGTTATGAGGGCCATTATGTAGAATGCTGCATGCTGGTGTGTTATTGGCCCCCTTCCCCACTGCTAACTCAAACAGGCCATCTAGATGCCACAGTGGCATAGAGAGTAGTACCAACTTTTCAGAAGACAAAATAAATAGAGTGTGGTGGGGAAAGGCAAGAGAGGGAGGGAGGCCCTTTCGATTGCCCTGTGGCTTCCTCTATAGAGACATAACTAGTATGGAAATGCGCAAGGCAGAATGACATTATTAGCGTGAGACCCTGGGCTCCATCCCTTCCTCGCGCTGCTCATCCCAATCAAATTGTGATAAGCTATTAGACAAGAAAGGAGAGCAGAGATTTATAAGGATCCACTAGCCCTTTATTATAGAGTCAGGCTTCTATAAAAGGTGGAATTATCCAGGGTGTGTGTGTGTGTGTGTGTGTGTGTGTGTGTGTGTGTCTGTGCACGCGCGAGTGCGCGCTTTAGTACATGTGTGTGGCCAGAGAGCAGTGTAGCTCCAACCCTGACCCAGCACATACTGATAATGCCTGCCCTTTACCCAGCCTGCACTCTTCTTGGGTGTTACACACTGAGGGGGCTGGGGTATCATGGCTGGGAGCTCATCTGGCCCCAGCTCTCACCTAGTCAGATCACAAAGAACCCAGCCTTGCCCAGATAAGCCAGGCACATCGACTATTTCCCTGGTAAATTTTTCTCAGGCTGGAATCCATTTTTAGCAGCTTCACTTGGTTGATCAATGGCTTCTATTCAATGTGGATATTGACTGAGGAAACCGGCTCAGAATGCCAGATGCAGTTCAAACTACACAGCTCTCCAGTACCCACAGATAAAGGTGGGATCTCAGCCTCCATCCTATTTAAAGAGCTCTGCCTAGCTTCTTCTTCTGGAGTAAAGCATTGTTTCTTCACAACTTAATTGTGAAGAGCAAAAGATACTTTTAAAAATATTCATGTTTTATTGGATGTGGTAGCCAGCTTGGACTACATAGAAAAAATACATCCGAAAAAACAGTATATAGATGCATATGCATACATGCATATATTAAAATTGTTCCCAGCCTTTTTATTTGTGAGTGTATATGTGAATGGACACACATGTGCGTGCCTGTGCTTACATGCAGGCACACACACACACACACACACACACACACACACACACACACATCAGTCATCAGGTGAATGTGGTAGTCTGAGGATAACTTGTGGGAATCAGTTCTCTCTTTCCTCCACACTCAGGTTATAGGCTTGACAGCAAATCTTTATCTCCTCAATCATGTTTCTGCCCTCCCACATATATTTTAAATACTTTGTTTTTTTTAAAATGCCTTTTGTACAAAATATCCAGCAGTTTTTATATAGTACTAAAATATAATATGTGCCCCGCATGCTCTATATTCATTTTTTTGTTTCCCATGACACATTATGGGTTCTATGCTACTATCCTCTAGGAAGAATTATTGTTCATCTTTGTCCACCCTCTTGAAAGTATGAATGGGCAGGGCTGGGCTCTAGTGAAGATATAAACCAATGATTATTTGCTGAATGAATGATGGGCCATAGTTACTTGCTGTTTAAGACTCATGATGCACTGGCTTTTTCTTTGGTCACATCTGTCTGAGGAGGTAGATAACACTCCCAATTCCATGATGCAGATTAGAAAATTAAGGCCAGGAAGGGTGAGTAAGAGCTAGAAGTATATGATCCAGGAGTTTACTCATAGAATCTATTTTACAGCCTGAGTTCCTGCTGTAATATAATATATAATGTGTTGTCAGAGGCTGTTAGTTCATTCCTGGCTGATCAGCCCCCAAATAATCACACAGAAACTATATTAATTGCAATACTGTTTCAATAATAGCTTAAACATATTTCTGGCTAACTCTTTTTTTAAATTTATTTTTCCATTCAAAAATCTCCACTTCCTCCTCTCCTCCCATTTCCCTCCTGCTTCCTCACTTACCCTCCTCCAGCCCACTCCAGTCTTAAGAGAGGGCAGGGTACCCTGCACTGTAGGAAGTCCAAGGTCCTTCCCCCTCCATCTAGGCCTAGGAAGGTGTGCATCCAAACAGACTAGGATCCCAAAAAGCCAGTACAAGCAGTAGAAACAGGTCTCAGTGCCATTATCAATGTCTTCTCAGTCATCCCCCATTGTCAGTCACGCTCATAGAGTCTGGTTTGATCACATGCTCGTTTAGTCCGAGTCCAGCTGGATTTGGTGAGCTCCCATTAGATCAGGCACACTGTCTCAGTGGGTAGACCAACCCCTTGCAGTCCTGACTTCCTTGTTCATCTTCTCCCTCTTTCTGCTCTTCAACTGGACCTTGGAAACTCAGTCCAGTGCTCTGATGTGGGTCTCTGTCTCTATCTTCATCCATCGCCAGACGAAGGTTCTATGGTAATATTCGAGATATTCATCAGTGTGGTTATGGGACAAGGCCAGTTCAGGCACCTCTCCTCTGCTGCCCAAGGACCTGGAATCCCTTCTAGTGCCAAGTCTCTTGCCAACCCTAAAATGGCCCCCTTAATTAAGATATCTTCTTCCCTGCTCCTATATCCACCCTTCCTGGAAATAGAAAACACTGTCCTGAGTGAGATAATCCAGACCCACCCAAAAAGATGAATATGGCACTCACTCATTAGTGGACTCTAGCCATAAACAAAGGACATTGAATCTATAATTCACAAGCCTAGAGAAGCCAAATAATGAGGTGAACCCAAAGAAAAACATTTATAAATTTTCCTGGAAATTGGAAGCAGACAAGATTCCCTGGCAAAAGTTGGGAGCATGGAGGTGGGGGTGGGGGTGGGTGGGGGGAAAGGGAAAGGGGGAGAGAGAAGGGAAAAGGGAAGGACTGGCTAACTCTTATATCCCAAACTATCCTATCTCCATTAGTCTGTGTATAGCTACATGTCTGTGGCTTACGGGGTAAAGTTCCATTCCTGTTGTCTGTCTCGGGCAGAGCTACATGGCTTCTCCTGACTCTGCCTTCTTTCTCATATCATTCAGTTTAGTTTTCCCTGCCTAGCTCTATTCTACCCTATTGAAGGCTAAAGTGGTTTCTTTATTCATTTACCAATAAAAGCAACAGACAGAAGGACTTCCCACACCATTTCCTCTTTTCTGTTTAAATAAAAAGGAAGGTTTTAACTTTAACATAGTAAAAATTACATATAAAAACAATTATCAAGCAATAATTACAGTTGCAATATTTATATCAAACTTTATCTTTTATCATAACTAAGGAAAACCATAATTTTAACAATCTATTCTTCAACACCATCAAAGACTCCAGAAGGATATAATATTACCTAATTAAACAGGAAGTGCATTGTAAGCAACTTCCAAAACTCTAGAATTGACATGAGACACATCTGCTTCTGGCAGCACCATTTACTTCAAGAGGATGACAGGCATTGAAGAGGCTCCTTATGGAGTTTGCCAGCCATTTGGGCAAGAAACAGATTTTTCCTGGACTGCTTGATGTCATGCTGTATGAACTGGATATGCAGGACCCACAGAAAAATAACTGCTGAAGTTGCCTAAAGAAGGTGAGACAATCCTTTGGGGTTCCTGCTTCATGGAAGAGTCTGCCCGATATTCTGCAGGACACAGAAGACGTGACTGACAAGCTGCCAATATAGCTGGAGCTGTCATTGAAATTTCCTGCTTCATGGAAAAGTCTACCGGGTACTATGGGCCAGTAGGCTGAAGATAGGTGCCTGCAATGTTACAGAAGAACTTTGGGTGACTGTCTAGGTAGCAAGATGTCTCTTGTTCTTGGCTACTCATCCCCAAAATAATCACACAGAAACTATACTACTTGCAATACTGTTTAAACAATAGCTTACGTGTATTTCTGGCTAACTCTTATATCCTAAACTAACTCATCTCCATCAATCTGTGTATTGCCACATGGCTGTGGCTCACCGGGTAAAGTTCTGTCCCTGGTGTCTGTCTCTGGAAGGGCTACATGTTCTCTTTACTCCACCTTCTTTCTGCCAGCATTCAGTTAGTTTTCCCTGCCTAGCTCTATGCTACCTTATCACAGGCTAAGGCAGTTTCCTTATTCAATAACCAATAAAAGCAACACATAGACAGAAGAACTTCCCACACCAATAATCCATACATAATATATAACTATAATATATAAGATGTAATTATATATTATATAATGGTTTATTATAAAATAATAGACAATAATAGAATGATCAATAATATATAATCATATCATACAAGGTACCAATTATAGACAAATACCCAAATTTGCATCTTGTGAACAATGGAAACCACACACTTTCTTTTTCAGGCTATGCGGGAGTTAATCTGCCTCCTGTCCCTATCACTGGGTAAGGAGGGTTATGGAAGTTATTTAGGTCTCTGAAGTAACATGCCACCAGTTATAGAACAAGTCTGGTTATATTGGCTCAAGCATTTTCACAGGTAGAGTGCAGGGTGTAAGCACAGACAGGTGTAACAGATTTCTATCTCCAGCAGTGTGACCTTGTCTATACCACAGAAGCATGGATGTTGCTGTTTTAGTGCACAGATGTTGCC